ACAAAAACCAGTGTGGCAATCTTAACAATCTGATAAGAATTAATTACAAGAAAGAAGGGGTCTCCTTGGGGAGGAGCACAAAGGCTCAATATGTGCTTCTGATCATGTACATATTTCTCAAAATGGACTCCAGGAAATGGAAAAAGAAAGTAGAAATGGAGGAGTATATTTAATCAGAGAAGATATTATTAAAAACAACATTTAAAGATGTGTAGAAAATGAAAGATGTGTTGTGGCTCACATTGGCTATAAGTAAAAGGTACAAGAAAAGAAATGAAGGAAGAAAAATGCCCATGTCAAACCAAAAAAGACAAAGACAAAAACAGTACTTTATCATTGGAAAGGAAGGTGGCTGCCTTTGTTCCTAGAACTTTTTTTTTTTTTTGGTCGGTTGTGGGCCTTGAACTCTGGGCCTGGGTGCTGTCCCTGTGCTCATCAGCTCAAGGTGAGCACTCTACCACTTGAGCCACACCACCACTTCCAGTTTTCTAGTGGTTTATTGGAGATAAGAGTCTCATGGAGTTTCCTGCCTGGGCTGGCATTGAACTGTGATCCTCAGATCTCCTGAGTAGCTAGGATTACAGGCATGAGCCACCAGCGCCCTGCTCTTAGAACTTTTTAACCTGAACTGGTTAGTAGTAGGGGCTGTCTCATTGACTGAGTTTGGGTCTAAGTTGGCTCCCATACAGAAACATAAACTTGAAGTTTTGCTTGCAAGTTAGGCAAGGGACTAGGTGCCTAAATGTACATCCTCCTGTTTCCCTCCTCCTAAGGCCTGTGATATTCTCCACATCTCCTGGGTCCCCCCACTAACTGACAGTCTGTTCACTAGACATGAATAGTTCTCAAGTCAGACTGTAGTTCTGGGCTCTGATTTGCTGAGTCCTTGTAATCATACCACTTTGGTACATGCTGAGATTCCCAAGATGCACCTGTGGCTAGAGTCAGGGTTGTGCTGGTCGTCAGGACTCTTGACTTGAGGGTGGTTTCTGTGATGCAGTAGGTGCAGTGTAGTTAATTGGATGGTCCCCAAGGCAGAGCTGGTCAGTGCTGCAGCTGCCTTCAGTGGTCACTCTATTCTGTGCTACTTTATGTCAACTGATTGATGCCCTCTTATGTGCCACTGGTGCTCACTAGTGTATTGTGAGGTGCTGATGGAAACAGGCCTTTGAACTACCAGTCCCGACTTCTTGGTTCTAATGGAGGAAGTGTTCACTTTGGTCTGCCTGTGAGGCAAGATGCTAGGACTGTTGCTCAACTGCCCTCTTTTGCCTTTATCTATTTGTTCCTTTCAACCTTTATATTTGTGAACTACAGTTTAGGAAAGTACATTATAGTAATTTTTCTCAATTCTGTGGTTTATAGTTGAGTCTGTGTTAGAACTCCTGGATTGGTCATGTGACTTTGTCACCTGCTTTCCTTGACTTTTGGTACTACTTTCTGGGAAATTGAAAAGGCTGTGCAGAGAAATGGTTGAGGACTCAGGTTTTACAGCCAGAAGGCCTGCTTGGATTCTGTTGTGGTCAGTTTCTAGCTTTATAACCACATGAAACTACTACTTCATAGCTTTCTTTTGGTTCTACTGTTTTATAGTCTTCTGTTCTTGTTTCATGGGCGCAGTAACTGTATATGTGTGTATAGCTGTGAGTGTGCACATGTGTGCATGCCAGTACTAGGGCTTAAAATCAGGATCTGGGTACTGCCCCTTAGTTTTACTAGTCGAGCTTGAGCTATAAACAGATTATTGATGATTAATTATAGATAAAGAATCTCAGAGCCATTTTTGCCTGGGCAGGCCTTGAACTGTGATCCTCAGATGTCAGCCTCCTGAATAGCTAAGATTACAAGCGTGAACCACTGATGTCTGGCTTCAAAATCCTGTCTTTCATATAGGAAATTGAATGAGTGGAGAAACCATGCTAAAACCTTATTCCCATGCTTTATGAAGTTATGTATGACATAGGATTCTGGTCTAGCTCATTAGGTTGCCACTGACGTCTACCTCATGATGGAGGGAAGACAGCCCCTGCATTAAAGTCACCATGGAAAAGGACAGTCCCTGTATTACAAAGTCACCATGGAGGAGGACAGTCCTTGTATTAAGGTCATCATGGAAGATGACAGTCCCTGTATTAAAGGGAGGATAGTCCACGTATTCATGTCACCTTGGAAGAAGAATAGCCCCTGAGTTCATGTGACCATAGAGGAAGGACTGGCCCTGTATTTGTGTCGCCATGGAAGTTCCTGTTCATGTCACCACAGAGGAAAACTCCCTGTATTTATGTCACCATGGAGGAGGGTGGTCCCTGTATTCATGTCACCATGGAGGAAGGTGTTTCCTTTATTTATGACATCATGGAGTGAGGATGGCTCCTGCATTCATGTCATTATGGAGAAGGATGATACATGTATTCATGTTACCATGGAGAAAGGAGGATGATCCCTGTTTTCATGTCACCATGGAGGGGAACTATTCCTGTAGTCATGTCACCATGGAGGGGGACAGTTCCCTCATGTACTACAGCTGCAGAGTTACAGAATGCCTGTTTCACTGCTGGTGTATTCATTCTATATACATTCATTTCAGGTGCGCTACTTTTCTTTTTTTGCCTACAATTTTTGTTTTAAGTTCAGCCTTCGTGAATACCCCTGTTTGTTACTGAACTTTCTGCTGCCCAGTATAGTCTCTCACTGTTTCTTAGTTATTCTTCCAAGAAATCTGATTATTCTAACTCACAGTTAGTTTTGGTCCACTTTCAATTTGTCCCCCCTTAACTATGAATTGGCTGTCTGCAATGAAAATTTCCCAGTTCTATTCAAGTACCTTCAAGTGCTGGAGATGACAGAAAGACTTGCTAGCAGTGAAATAGTAGAGTTGAGGTGGGGAAATCCTAAGCAGTAAGGAGCCAGAGATAATAATAGTTCCCTTTTGTACTTGGGGGACAGGCAGAGCTAGCATATGATGTATGTAGTCTCTAATTTAATAGGATTTGTCCTTCAAAAAGTACTTCAGGCAAATAGTGCAGATTGGATATTGTAAAACAAAACTATTTAGGCAACTGTACTTTGATTTGATGCTTTTTTTTTTTTTTTTGGGTCCAGTCGTGGGGCCTGAACTCTGGGCCTGGGCGCTGTCCCTCAGCTCTTTAGCTCAAGGCTAGCGCTCTGCCACTTGAGCTATAGCGCCATTTCCAGCTTTTTTCTTTTTGCTTATGTGGTGCTGAGGAATGGAACCCAGGGCCTCAGGCATGCAAGGCAAGTGCTCTACCACTGAGCCACCTTCCCAGCCCCTTGATGCCCCATGTCTTTAATGACATGATATGACAGAAAGACCACTGTATTCATATTTGTTACTATAATTAAATTCCTGAGGCTAAGGAACTTGATTAAAAAAAAAAAAAAGCTGTTTTGTTCACAGTCCTAGAGGCTTTAGTGCATGTTGCTTGTATCAGTTTTGTGGTAAGACCTCCTTGTAGGCACTGTAAAGACAGATACACATTTTGGGGTGAGAGATCACATTGTCAGGAAGCCAGAAAACTATGAAGGGCTCATGCTGAGACTTGATAACGAGCTTCCTTTGCAAGAACCTACACTAAAGTCCTACAAGAACTCCTTTAATCCCTCATCTCCCCCTACCCCATTTTTTGGTGCTGGTCCTGGGGCTTGAACTCAGGGCCTGGGCACTGTCCCTGAGCTTTTGTGCTCAAGGTTGGCCCTCTGTTACTTGAGCCACAGCTCCACTCCCAGTAGTTAATTTGAGATGAGAGTCTCAAGGACTTTCCTGCTTAGGCTGGCTTCAAACCATGATTCTCAGCTCTCAACCTCCTGAGTAGCTAGGATTACAGGCATGAGCCTGTCACACAGGTTTTATTTTAATCCCTTTTGAGAGCACGCCATCAGTGACCTAAGGATATCCATAGTAAGCCTCACTTTTTCTTTTGTTTTGTTTGTGTCAGTATTGGTACTTGAATTCTGGGCCTGGGGACTGCCCCTGAGCTTCTTTTGCTCAAGGCTAGCACTCTACCATTTGAGCCACAACTCTGCTTCCACCTTTTTTTTTTTTTTTTGGTCATTTATTAGAAATAAAAGAATTTTATGGACTTTACTGCCTGGGCTGGCTTTGAATTGTAGTCCTCAGATCTCAGCCTCCTGAGCAGCTAGTAGCCACTGGTATCTAGCTAACCCTCATTTCTTTCCTCCCTCCCTCCCTCCCTCCCTCCCTCCCTCCCTTCCTTCCTTCCTTCCTTCCTTCCTTCCTCTCTTCCTCTTTATTTCTTTTGTCAACAGCATTTTATTACATTTAAATAGGATTTACTAAAATGCATCATCCAAAGATGTTCAAGTCTTGAAAGTTTGTTTTTTCTTCAGTATAACCCTCATTTCTTAGTTACCATCACTTCACCACCATTAATCTGGTAGTGAAGCTGCCAGCACAGGAATTCTTGTGTGGCAAACTCAAACTTTGTCCAAAACATAGCAATCACTAGTGTAGAAAACAGGAGTCTTCGGTTTATGACCTGGATACACAGAAGCAGTGTAAATATACTTTTGCTGTTCTGAAAGCCATCACTTTCTTCATCAGGTAAAAATTTAAAATACTAGAAAGAATAGTTCTTAGCTACTGTGTCTGTAAAACCTTGTGACTTGTGTACTGTACACAGTTCAGGAAGGTAATTTTCCCACAGATGGTTAAAACAAAAAGCTGTTGTATACATTAACACAAAATTCTAAGTAGAGATTAATATGAAGTCAGAATCATGAATTGCTTGGTTAGTACATTAAGAATAGGGAAATTCTATAGTGTTGTGTATGTTCTTTGAACTTGTTTTATTTGATGGTTGAATGGTATGTCTGATTCATAAACTTTTTCCCAACTGCACATAATTGATTTATTATTCTAGCTGCAATATTGAACTTTGCCATGTGTTTTCATCTTCATGCTTTTTAAAAACCATATTTGATTATTCTAATAGTTAACTTGGGCTCCGTTTATTTTTTAGGATTTAAGTGCCCTGTATGCTCAAAATTTGTACCCTCAGATGAAATGGATTTACATCTTGTGATGTGTTTAACAAAGCCAAGAATAACCTATAATGGTAAGTACAATGCTATATATTATATCTATCTTACCTATCTATCTGTAGGTATCTATATAATATATATGTGTGTATACACACACACAGTATTAGGGCTTGAACTCATGTACTTGTACTTGCTCAGTTTGCTTGTTCAGCTGGTACTCAGCTACCCCTCTAGCCAGGCTTATTTTTTCCTGGTTATTTTGGAAATGGCTGGCTTTGAACTGTGATCCTCCTGATCGAAGCCTCTTGAGTAGCTAGGATTACAAGCATGAGCCATCAGCACCTGCTTAGAGTAATAATTTAAATTACAGTCGCCTTACATTTTTTAAGTTTCAAGTAAAATTTGAATGTTAAGGAGGACTTTGTTTCAATCTTTACTAGTCCCTTAAAAACCATAAAGGCAGTTATTCTCAAACAATGGTCTTAGGATGCCTTTACTCATTTAAGACATTGTTGAAAAAAATGTATTGTATCTATTGGCATTTGTTATATTGGGAATTAGAAGTTCTGTAATCTTTCCATAATTTTTTGAACAAAGTAAATATGCTTATGTTGCATGATGTTTAATGAAAAACAAGTAAATTTTCTAAGGCAAAAAAATACTTAGTGACATAGATGGCATATTATTTCTGTTGTAAACTAACATGTACCTTGATAACAGAATTTTCACATTATCTGCATTCTATTTGTTGTAATAATGGTATATCATGTCCTAGAAAACTCACTGGTACAGTGTAAAGAATAGTAATGAAAATCAAATGATACCTTAATGCTTTATAAAAATAGCTTTTACCTTATGAAACTCAGGTATCTCAAAGATTCCATCACTTCCTCTAATCCAGAAGCCTCCTTTGGGCCACACTTTGAGAACTGCTGCACTGATAAAACCTTTTGAGGTCTGGCTTAAGTAAGAAAAAAATGCCTGTGATGGCTATTCCTTTTCTTTCTTTCTTTTCTTGTTTTCTTCTTCTTTTTTTTTTTTTTTGACAACCTTGGGGCTTGAACTCAGGGCCTGAGTACCATCCCTAAGCTTCTTTTGCTCAAGGCTACTATTATACCATTTGAGCCTTAGCGCCACTTCCAGTTTTTTCTGTTTATGTGGTACTGAGGAATCAAACCGAGGGCTTCATGCATGCTAGGCAAGCACTCTACCACTAAGCCACATTCCCAGCCCTGTAATGACTATTTCCAAAAGTAAGTATATGTGTGGCTAAAGTAGAACTTTTTGTTCTTAAGAATGCATAATAAACTAGGTGCTGGTGGCTCTCATATCAATAATCCTACTTAAGAGGCTTAAGAATGGGAGGGCAGCTAGGTACTTTTGGCTCACACCTGTAATCCTAGCTACTCAGAAGGCTGAGATCTGAGGATCATGGTTCAAAGCCAGTCTGGGTAGGAAAGGCCATGAGACTTTTATCTCCAATAAACTACCAGAAAAGCGGAAGTGGCACTGTAGCTCAAGTGGTGGTAGAGTGCTTGCCTTGAGCTGTAGAGTGCAGGGACAGTTCCCAGACCCAGAGCTCAAGCCCCCACAACCGGCAAAAAAAAAAAAAAAAGCGGGAGGGCATTAGTTGGAGACCAGGAGAAGCAGAAAAGTTCTTGAGACCCTTTTTTATCCCATTGCTGGTGCAATGGTCCATGTCTGCCATCCTAATCCATGTGGGAAGCTTAGATTGGGAGGATGAAATTTGAGGCCAGATTGGGCAATATAGGCCAGGAGACCCCCATCTCAATGGGAGAAGATGGATGTAGTGGTATGTGCCTATCATCTTGGCAACTACAAGAAACCTAAAGTATGGGTACAGATAATGATCCAGACTCATACCAACATGGGAAGCAAGGTCCTATTCTAACTAACTGGGCACAAAAAGGTTGGAGATATGGTTCAGCTGTAGACAGCCTTCATAGCAAGTAGGAGACCCTGAGTTCACACCTTAGTACTATAAAACAAAAGGAATACCTAATGAATTTTAAAAGGGTAGAACAATAAAGCAACAGCTAATAGAAGAAATGCATGAGCGAAGTCAGAACTTCACCTATGCCATGTGCATCTGTTGCTTTTGGTTTGGTTTTGTTTTTTTCACCAAAGACAAGTAAAAATTCCATCCTGATCAGAAATCATTGGATACTTAAGGCCCTAGGAAAGATCTTTAGTGCAGTTTTAGCATACTTTACAATAAAGTTGGTGAGTAGGGGGACTCAAATAGGTTCCTCTTGACTAATACAGTAATATAAGGGAAAAGGAAAAAGGGAATTTTTTTCTCCAAATATTTAAAAATAGAAAACAAACTTCAAACCAGGCATATTGGTTCATGTTTGTAATTTAGTATGAAGGAGCTTTGACTTCAAGGCCAGTCTTGGCTACATAGTGGGACCTCGTCTCAAAAACATAGGTAAGAGAACTGTGGTCCATGGCAAAAATGGGAGACGCTGATTAAAAAATAACTAAAGCAAAAATAGATGAGAGATGTGGCTGAAGTGTAGGGGCCATTCCTGAAATCTTGAATTTTTTAAATTTTTGTTGGTGGTAGGGCTTGAAATCAAGACCTGGACACTATCCCTGAGCTTTTTCATTCACTAGTGCTCTACCGCTTTGAGCCACAGCTCCACTTCCGATTTTCTGATAGCTAATTGGAAATAACTTCGCAGACTTTCCTGCCTACACTGGCTTTAACTTCAATCCTCAGATCTCAGCCTCCTGAGTAGTTAGGGTTACAGGCGTGAGCCATCAGCATCCAGCTTGAAATTTATTGTAAAGTATATATTAAACTCTATAAACACAATTAGCAAAGAGAATAAACAGGCTCATTTTCAGGTTTGCTGTATTTATAGACAGCCTTCCCCAAGTTGTCAACCTGGAGTTGCTAATTTATTCTCACAGAAATGTTTCAGATATTGATTTGGTTTTCAGACTAGCTCACAACTTTTCATTCATTCATTCATTCATTCATTCATTCATGTTAGCACCAAAATTTAAACTTAGCCTCACACTTACTGGACTGGCTTGCTCACAACTGGTGCTGTACCACTTGTGGCACACCCAATTGGAGATGGAGCTTGGCAAACTTTTTCAAACCATGATCCTACAGGTCTCAAGCTCCTGAGTTACCAACACCTGGCTACAACAACTTTTTTTTTTTTAATCTAGTATGCAAAGAAGAAAATTGGCTTGGTCTGTGGGAGCTGTCAGTCCTAGGCAGCTGGGTTAACAGAAGATCAGGAGAGAGGCCCAGGACAGTTAAGGCGAGAAAGGATCCTGAACAGTCTGAGCATTGTTGCCTGTCACTGCTGGTATTTTGACAAAATAAAAAAAACTTTAGACTACCACAATGAATATTGTTAACATCAATTCCCTTAACTTGGGGCCTGCCTGTGTTGTATATGTACTTCTCCTCTTTCAGATACTTCCTTGTTTAGCTTATCCATCTGGTAAGTGCATTCTTTGAACTGAATGGAAGTTTTGTAAGTATAGAGTCTTGTTCAGCATCTTTGAAAACATTTAAGACAAACCAAAATATGAATATCCTTAGCAAATTAGTGTTGATTGTATTGGTCTTCAAACTACTTTGGATTATAGTGCATTTTATATCATATAAATTTTGGCTTTTACTTGAGACTTCTGTGATAAAAGATAATAAAATTGACCTTTTTTATATTTGGGGATGCTAGAGATCAAACCCAAGATTTTGTGCTATGTGCAACTTCAAACTATCATCTGAGAGTTAAAATTTAAACTCATTTAATCAAAACAGAACTGTTCAGTGTCATAGAAAGTGTCCTGAGCAAGCTTGACTATTACTTTGTCAAAGAACCATATTTGATTGAAAGGCAACTTTTTCTGCTGTGACAGTGAGGAAAAGGACAGTGCAGTTTGGATTTTTTTTTGTTGTTGTTGTTGTTGGTTGGTTGTGGAGCTTGAACTCTGGGCCTCTGCACTGTCCCACAGCTCTTCAGCTCAAGGCTAGTGCTCTACCACTTAAGCCACAGCACCACTTCCGGTTTTCTGAGTGGTTTATTGGAGATAAGAGTCTCCTGGGCTTTCCTGCTCGTGCTGGCTTTGAACTGTGATCCTAGATCTCAACCTCTTGAGTAGCTAGGATTATAGGCATGAGCCACCACTACTAGGCTTGGCTTTTTCTTATCAGACTTTCCCATGGGTTGTATTAGGCAGTGAGCACCTTAACACCATTTGCTCAGACAGGATTCTAATGAGTCAGACTCCCAAATGCAAGTTTTTACAAAAGACATATTTTCTTCCTTTGTAGTATAACCTTGCCTTCCAACAGTTAGAGTTCTCAGGTTTAAGTTTAACACTTTCTGCCGTTATATGCTACATTTTCTGCTCTTCATATCTTGCCCTGAAATTATTGTCTTTGCAAGTTCAACATATTTTGTTAAAACTGGCATGTCTCTTACAATTGAAGATTTAAAAAACAAAAAACAAGGAAAGCCAAGCTCAGAGAGACAACCAAAACATGTTTTCCCTCATTTGTGGAAGCTAGCTCTAAAATACACCAGGACCTGATAAACTTTACAGGACTCTAGGCATCGCACACAGTGGGACCAAAGGAGGATACTGTTTAGAGGAAGAACACAAAGGGATAATGTCTATGTGCCTCTGATCATATAAAATAATGAACTCCAGGAAATGGGAAAAAATGGCTTAAAAATATAGCCCAGTTGTAGAACACTTTCTTACCATGGTTGAGGCTCTGTCCAAACTTGAGTATTCCAAAACAAAAACAAAAGGAAACAAAAAACCCAACTAGTTGTGTTTCATAGCACCAAGGGCATTTGTAAAGAAATCAGTCAAAGCTGGGCACCTGTGGCTCATCCTGTAATTCTAGTTACTCAAAACTAAAAAGCCAGAAGTAGTGCTGTGGATCAAGTGGTAGAGCCCTCACCTTGAGCAAAAGAAGCTCAGGGATAGCACCCAGGCCCAGAGCTTAAGCCCTAGGACTGACAAGAAAATAAAAGAAATCTGTCACCTTGCCTGGGCAGTGTGAACCTTGCCT